AGAGAGAAAGACGGAGAGAGGAGGAAAGGGAAAGAGAGGAACCAGCGGGGAAGGGAGAAAAGAGGAGTTGGTAGTGAATAGGAATAGCAATAGGGACGACCAGGGAAATGAAAGGAGACGAAGAAGAAAGAGAAGCAGCAGCAGCAGCAGCAGGAGGGAAAGGGACAGCAAGCAGACCCGGAGAAGAAGGGAACTGGAACTATTGATTGGGATCGATCATGCGAATCACTCTACTTACTACTACTCTTAGTAGTAGTACTTACTACTTACTACAAGCAGTTACTGGTAGTGACTTGACTCTCCTGGATGGCCTGGGAAGTCTGCCTGAGACGCTCGCCTGTCGCTCAGGCGCTGTTGTGCTTCCTGATTGGCTCGCTTTAGCTCCCCTTAGACCAAAGAGGACTAGCGGAAGGAGGGGGCGACTGGCCAATTGTCCAACGAGGCCTCCTGATTGGTGCCAGCACCCAAATCCCCCGTGGGTGCCTGAGGTGCCACGGCCAGACTGCCTCCAACTTCCAGTTCCCCCAACTTATCGTGCGAGACGAGGATCTTCAGGAAATGAGCCGACCCTCTTTTCATCAGTAGCACAACACTGAAGTAATTAATATCAAATCACTATTCCAACGATGAGTGGTCATCTGACCTTCCTTATCTGATTCACCCCATGGCCATCCCGGTCCTCTCAACATTGCATGGCTCCAAAGCCCATCTTTATCTCTCACCAAGCCCCTCCCAGGGTCCCTCTACGGAGTGCACCGGAACGTGGTAACCGCTTGCACGGAGCTTCCCCTGCCCAAATCGCTGCAGATACCCAGGTGCTGTGCTCAGGACAGGCCTGTAAAACCAATATACCACAGTCCGTTTCCACCTCTTATCTATCTGGCTCTCTGCAGCCTGCTATTGCTGCTGATGGTGCTACTATACCGCCTGGGCCCCAGCTCGTTGGCCGGGGCCTCTCATCCATGCTCACGTAATGCCATTTGGCCTCCGCCAGGCTGAAACGCCCCATCCCAGTGTTGCCTTCCCAACTGCCTGGCACGGACACGTATTATCTCGGAGGTGTTAGTAGCATCCAGGCTCCCATATTATTTCCTGTAGCGGCTTCTCTCTGAAATGACACCAAAGGAAGGTGATCCACTGAACACACATTGATTGTCAGTCACTATAATTAGAGTAGGTTAACATAAGATAGTACTGTCGTGTCACTGATCATCGCCATCATGTCTGCACTTTCCAAACAAGATCAGGACTTCATATGTCAAGAGTTAAACTTGGTATATATGCTCCTGCCTGCCACCTATATCATTTCTTCGATAACCAGGGTATCATCAATTGCATCAAAACCAGCTTACTAGCGTGGTCAGACTTTGCATCTCGAAACGCTAAGCAGTCCTTGGGCCTTGTATGTGGTTGTCACATACTATTATTGCTGTATACACTGTAAGCCATTGTCCAGTATAAGATGGCAGCTGGCGTACCCTCTCAAAAAGGCTCTTGGCAGTCTCTTATACAGAACCATTCCCCCTTCGGATGTGAAGTAGGCTAAACAGCCTCAGTCTCGTTGTCCTTACTTGAATTGGATTGCGGCACACTATCAGGCCGTTTCTCAAGGTCACGTTCGAGGCGGGCTTTCTCCTCGTCCGTCGCGTCAGTTAGATGGACCGCAACTTCCTCGCCAAAGTTCTGTGCAATTTCCTCCAATGTCAACCGAGCAGTCTCCGGGAAGAAAAAGTAGATCACTAAAAGCCACCTATTAGTACGAATACCAAGATTGCAAAGACGTAGCTAGCTCACCCGGAATGAAAAATGCGGACCAGCAAATGATAACCAGATAATACTTCCAGCCAACGTTGTCGAAACCCATTGGCGCGGTCTGAAGCAGGATGAGAGTCGCTGTCATGCGTTAGTAGCTAGGACGGCTTTGCATCAGAACGGTTTCTTACCGGCGAACTGTCCAAATAGGGAGAAGCCCATGCCAATTGGGCGAATCTCAGTAGGGAAAATCTCAGACACATAGAGATACATCGTTGTATCACAGAAAGTTCTGTTAAGAGATGAGTAGTCTGAAATCATACTCAGTGGAGATATGCTTACCCTTGGAATGCAAGGTAAAGGTACATAAACAGAATGCCAAATCCGTTACCAACCCGGTTCGTGGTGCCCGCGTATTGTGCGGTCATGGCAGCCAAGCAAGATGTGGTAATAATAATTCCGACAAAACCTGTAATGTACATCTTTCGACGAGAGTTGACCTTGTCGTGAAGCCAGGCACCAAGAGGGTTGTAAATGACACCTAAAAACACACCGATTAGTCTTTACCCTCATAGCCTGACCAGTCTCCATCTTACCAGCAGTTGTCAGCCAGACCGCACTCAGGAGCAGTGGCATTCCACCCGTTTCGCCAAGGTTGGTGTATAGAAGAACCGCATAGTTGTTCTGCGCGATGTAAGCTATCGGATCTCAGCTTGATCTCAGCAGAGAAGCACTTACGATGATCAGCGGTCCGCCGAATTCAGCTCCCCATTGGGTCAAAAAGCCGATAGCCATGCGCTTCCTGTACGACTTCTTTTTCAAAACTGCGTTCCACACATTTCCATAGGCAGACAATCGCTCCCCTTCAAGACGGATCTGCTCGGCAGTTTGGAAGTATTCTTCCTTAGCAACCAGGTTGTTAGGATCGTCTGGGGATCTGCGAAGTCGCTCAAGGACCAGTTTGGCTTCCTCATGCTTCCCCTTACTGATCAGCCAGCGTGGAGAGCGAGGGAGCCAAGGCGATCCTAGTAGCAGGACGAGAGGTGGCAAGCACTGTAGACAAAGTGGGAACCGCCAGCCAAATGTACCGATCTTATTTTCAGCAAAGTAGCAGGCATAGCCTACCCAGCCGGCAAGCATGTAACCGAAAACCAGAAAGATGGCATGATGGCCAACAAGCCAACCACGACGGAAGGCACTAGACATCTCGGAAAGGTACATTGGACACACGGTCACGAGGATACCAATTCCGAGGCCGCAGACAAATCGCCCAGCTTGAAACATTCTAGGTAGAGTTAGCCAAGGGCATGTGCAGTAGATGGGGAGGGTAAATCAAGGCGCACTTGAGTGAATTAGAACCTCCTTGAAGTGCTCCTCCGAACATCGAGAAGAAAGCCCCCAACTGGATATTGAGTTTCCGACCAAAATAATCACACGACCACATTATGAAGAGCGTCCCAACCGCACCTCCAGCACTGAAGACGCCATTCGCTGTAGATATAGCAGGAGTCGTTATTGAGGCATATCCCGGTTCGCCCTCCTGAGGAAGATTGAAGTATGTAAACCATCCTGGCTGACCGATCGTGCTTGAGATAATCGAGGAGCAGTAGCCGTATGTCTGTTGAGATTGGAGAAAAGGAAAATTAGGAGCGATTGCAGAAAAGAGATTACCGAGTACTCACCATCGAACCAACGGCAACAAATATAGTGACCAGCCTATTATAGGTACTGGTCTGAGACCCGAACGTCCCCATGGCGAGCTAGATGGAAGCAATGGATGTAGATCGAAGCCAAAGTGGGAAGAGAAAAAAGCAATATAACCAGAAGGAAGAGCAAACAGGTCAACCCGCACGTTGCATCAGATGAAACAATATTGAGCAAGCCACGCGGCTCAGTTTTTGATCATGTACTACCCGAAAGGAACAGGTCTGGGACCGGGGGTGGTGAGGGAAAAGAGGCGGAAGGAATGCCGGGCAGAAATGAAAATGTAAACAACAACCGTGTATGACAGACTGACAGTCAAGGTGCCGGCACATCAGCCTGGGATATATCTCTCGGCGCAGGGTAAGCGGACAGAGAAAACGGCACCACAGAGACTCCCACACATCCTGCACTAAGTTGCTTAGCTCGTGGGAGCTTTCTAGCTTTGCCTTGAGTATACTTCCCTTTGCGTAGAGCACCGGCCGGGTGGAGTTGACGATGAAGGAGTGGATCCACCAACCACCGACCAGCGACATAACGGCTCCTCAATCACCTGGTTGAAGAAGCATGGCCCGATGGTCGCCATTCGACAATTGATTTGCTCTAGACCAGGGGAGGGAAGAAAGAGGATGCATTAGTTGTCGTTGCCTCGCTAGCCTGACAAAAAACGGTCTCTGCCAGGAAGGGAACAGACACTAAGCTTCTTTGGGGAGTCCCGTGCTGTTACTGCATGTACGTACGTTACCGTTATGCCTGTAAGTATGTATGTTCTGCGGTCTGCCGCTCCCTCTGGATTACTCACTACTTCCGAATAGGCAACTGAAAGGACTTAAGGTTCTCTCCATCTCCACCTTGAGAGCCTGGTTTTCCGTTTGGGTTTTTTGTGGCTGCCATCAGCATCCTGATCAGTTGTCACTTGTCAGTCCTGACTCGCTCCGTGGTTCATGGCTCTCAACCGATAAGATAACCCATAAGATGTCAGTTAAGATCCACCTTGAGTGAGCATGGTTCAAGGCGCGTTTGCTTTGTAACCTGGTGCGTATGCACGCTCAGGCATAATAGACAGACAATTTGGCCTTGATTTAGTAACCCCGAGCCCTCTTCTGTGGCCTCTCTCTTTTGTGGACTCGGCGGGACTGTGTTAAACTGGTGCAATCCTCAGTATTACGTTTTATGTGTAGCGTGTAAATCCGAACAGGGGGTTCAAAATTGGGTGCGGAGCAAGTACTATAACAGATGCGGGCCTGGTAGCCCGTCGCTGCGATCCGTCTATTGATTTTCTGGATCTAGTGCATCCGCTATGACAACGGCGCCGAACCGGTCTGTCTTTCATCCCCACCCTTTTCATTTGGATTAGTAACTATTGGAAGCAATAGAACCACCCTCCAAAGGCTACAACAGGTAGTTGAACCATCGTGCAATGAGATATTAAAACCTATGCGTACACGGGTTTCAGCTGGCTGTCCAACTATCCCTGGTTTCCGTCTCCCAACGTGCTGTGGTGTTTTCTTCTTCCTTCGATCGCCCTAGCTATCTTTCTCAGAAATATGTCGTCGGGTAATCCTAGTCAGTCGCCTTTCGATGTACCATTTGATGAGCTGCCGAACCCAAAGCAAATATGGGTTGGCAAGCCAGGAAGCCGCGAAGAAGGATTAGGGAAGCTTGCGATCTTGACCCCCGAGGTGGTGGCCAATGCTGCTGCCACTGAAATCAAGACCGGGCGACGGGTGACGATGGGTTGGGAACTGACCAAGTTGGATTATCCTAATCTGAACCGTCAACCATGCCACCATCAGATCATTCCGCTTTTGGGCGGTGTGGCTTTCGACGATGTCTATACCATGAATCCTCGTAGGTCATGCACTATTCTTCCTTTCGCCCGCGGTACCACCCCCCTGGGCTAACTCCAGAATAGAACAAAGTAGCCAGTGGGATGGTCTGCGGCATTTTTCGCAGACGGTTGAGGGCCAAACTGAGCGTGTGTTCTATGGTGGCGCAAGCGTCGAGGAAATCAATGATCGAACGAACAATCGGATCGGCTTGCAGCATTGGGCCAAAGAAGGGATTGCTGGTAGGAATTTGACCTATTTATTGATTGACCTTTCGAAGTAAGCGACTAATTGCGGTGTCGCATGCTGTTCGACAGGTCGCGGGGTATTGATCGATTATGCCACATGGGCAGAAAAGAGGGGAATCAGATACAGCACATTTTCGACACATCAAATCCGGCTTTCAGATATCAAGGAAATTGCCAAGGAGTGTGGCATTACTCTTCAAAAGGGCGATATACTTTTTGTTCGCATTGGAGTGACGAAGGAATGGGATACCACCATGACAGATGACCAGAAGCGGCAATACTCGGACAATCCGAGCCCGGAGCATGCAGGTGTCGAGGCAACTACGGATGTGCTGCGATGGCTTTGGGATACCGGGTTCGCCGCGATTGCCAGCGATGCAATTAGTTGGGAGGTATATCATCCACTGCAATCTTATGCAATGCATCACTATCCAAGTACATGGTGACTGACATGTAACAGGTTTACCCACCCCAGTCGCCTGATTTGTTCCTGCATGAGTATGTACTTGCGGGCTGGGGCATGCCAATCGGTACGTTGAAATCAATTGCATGCAATATGAAGCGATCTCCAATAATATACTGATCGGATTTACCTTTGACAGGAGAGCTGTTTGATCTAGAAGCACTGTCTCAAGTTTGCCAAGATCTCCAGCGCTGGTCTTTCTTTGTGGCATCTATCCCCTTGAACATGCCCGGAGGGGTATCTTCACCCCCCAACATCATGGCTATATTCTAAGCCGGATCTACCGACAGCGCTTTAGTTTGGGGCCAAACCGCTTGTACACGACAGCCACGGACGCTAAAAGCGGATCATATTTTCCGAATTTCCTTCTCCCATATTCGTGACGAAATTCTGGAGGTGGAGACCTTCAAAGGCTACACATAGCCGAGATGGAAATAAGGAGGGACAAATGGAAGTGGGGATGAAGTGTGTAGTAAGTGCGCTTAGAATAAGCGACGAGAATGAATGAGAAAGCACATACATACTTATTCGGACATTGGGTTTAGATAGTAGAGCTATAGTATGAATCCGTCCACTTTTCCAGGCGTCATTGGGATCAGCGATGGCCACTAGGACATGACGTGGAAACTAGACCTAATCTGAAACCAGGCGGATTTCAGAGGATAAAGAACCACGACATACAGAGGTAGGTACCTGCCTGCTCCTGGAAATACCGATTCCAAAGCAGTTGATTAAGATATTCGAATCAAAGAAAGTCAGACCATGGAGTGCTTTACCGCGCAAACTCTATGGCAAATTAGCATATTCTGATAAGGCTGGCTAAGACGGGGGATAATCTGTGGTCATCACCAGGGTCACATGGTAAACAGAAAGTCCGGGACATTCTGCCACGCGTGGAAGGGAACACAAAGAAACGCATGACTCCACTTCGAGTCTATAGTGCGTTTGCCTTTCACATCTCGGAGAAACGTTTGCTAACCGGGGAGCAAATGTGTTAACTGTAACCAGCCAAACAAACGCATTGCTTGACTGCGTGGTGGGTTCATCCGAAAAAATTTGCTCAGGACCCCTCAGCCCTTGCCAGCTCCTGCATCGTACTTCTGGTCTTGCTTCTTTTGTTCTTTGTTTTTTTTTTTTTTTTTTTTTTTCTTTTCTTTTCGTCGAGCCATCCGAGGCGACCAGTTGTTTTAGTTTCACAATAATCTAAGACGAGACCCCAGCTATGCCGGGTAAGGCAAGATTGACGTCCGCGAGGCCCACCATTGGTAACAGCGTTGCATCCGCACGGGCATTAAGTTCTCTTAGACGGCTGGCGGGCCCCACTTGCCGCCCGGCGCGCGCCCGCCCCAGTCATTCCAGCCTTGACTTCCTTACGGAGTACCCATACGGTATGAGACCGTAAGCGACAGCTGATGTGCATCTCTGACCCGCGAAGGGGATGGATCAGAATCTGGCGTGGCTTTCGATCGACATCTCTCTTTCATCCCACCCCCCTCCCCCAGTCGCCCTTACCCATTTGCTTCAATAATTGTGTTGGCTTCATTACATTCCAACACTAGAACAAGCCATTGGAAAAGGCGAAGCCTGATCATCTGCTGATCAAAATTTAATCCCCCAAAGTCTTTAGCCGAATGCACGCATGGGTTCCCGCTTCATCGCAACGCATGTGCAACATGTGAGACGGGGGAGGGGACTCTGAGCTTTGACACTGACCATGCAGATTCGTGCATAGTTACACGCAGTACAGAGTACACACACTCCTGTCCCAGAGTGGCATTTTATTTAGTCATCGCCAGTCTAGAATGGAATGGGTCCGAAGCACTGAAAATTTCGAGCAATCAATTTCCTGCGCCGAACAGCGACGGATTACGGAGTCGAAAAGGATTCTTTCCAATGCTAGTTAGCAATCAGGCAATATTCTCGAGCACTTGGCGAGATCGCCCACTTACCGAACCACTACCAGCCCACAACTGGGCTCTTGATTCAGAAAAAGTAAAGCCCATGGACTAGTCGTACTTCCTTCATTGCACCCCTGTCTTTGGCTAGCCCGGAACCCTGTCGCAGGATGCTCTGCAAAGGAGTAAAAATCCTTAGGGCCTGCGCTATCGCCTTCAGGGGTGACGGCCTCCGTCTAAATAGAAAAAAAAGGCTTGGTGCTTGTGGCAAAGGACGAATCGGAGAGCTTTATTGCTCGCGATGTATCGACCTTGATTGATGTGTCATGACCCCGAGTTCCCAAATTTGGTTGTGATATAGTCTTAAATGGGACTTAAACCCAGACTGCTGGGACATTCATTTATTTCCAGCATTTTGGAAGCGCTTCCGTGAAGCCTACCCGTTTGTCACGATGCTCGCAGAGCTGCTTGGACGTGATGACACCGGCACGACAGATAAACATGTGGACAGGTCGGTCCAGAAATGGAATCTGGCGACACAGATACTATGCATCACCACGATGACGATTTTCTTTGCTCTGCGATGTTTTACCCGCCTTGTCATCATGGACGGCTTTCGAAGAGAGGATTGTAAGGGCCTAATGAGCAGCTCCAGATGGCCAGTGCTAACGAACACACAGGGACCTGTCTAGGTGCTTGGGTAAGGACATTGATGCCAACCTACTGAATGAGATGCTCAACTATTTGACTGGCAGTTTCTTGGTGTGTGTTATTCGATTATTGCTTTGATCAGTAAGTATGAAAAAAGCCCTTTTCGGAGGTTTGCTGAGTGTTAGTTCAGTGGGCCATTTCGGGGGCGGGGTGCACTACGCTGATGTGCCTGTATCCCATCGCATACCCTTCGAGAAGGTAAGTTGAATGAGTCTCTTACAATCTCCAATTTGCTGTGTTAACTTGCTCAGACGGTGTATGTGACAATGGTCATGTATGGTCCGACCGCATATTTAACAAAGTTGTCCCTACTTTGGATCATTGCACGAGTCTTCAGCCCTTACCGAAAAACCGTCATATTTATCTACGTCTTCCTGGGTATTATGCTCGCCTACTATATTCCAGCGGTCATTGTCAAGATCCGAATCTGCGACCCAATAGCGAAGTTCTGGGCCCCTGACACACCGGGGTCATGCCTGGACCAGACATCAATCATTCTTGCCGATGCAGTTGTCAGTGTCGTTAGCGATATGGCTATCCTCATTCTTCCCCTACCTTTGACGGTGGGGCTACAATTGCCGCTGAAGAAGAAATTGCGAGTTATGGTCGTATTGGGAGCTGGAGGACTAGCGTGTGCTTCGAGTATTGTCCGTCTGATTCTCATTATTTTGACGGGGCAATCACAGGACGGAACACTGGCTTTCATGCGCATTAACATGTTCGGGTACGGCTGCTCCCTAAACTGGACTCATTGTATCACCCAGCTGACAATTCCCTCGTGGTCAGAAATGCCGAGATAACGATCGGGGTCATTTGTGCCTGCCTGCCTGCCCTCTCAGCTCTAATCTCCCGTACCCACCGCGAGTATACGAGCAACAAATACTCCAGTCATAAGAATACCCAGACATCACAGTACGAATTGAGTAAGGTCAAGAATAGTCGTCCCAGTCGCGCAGATAGGGGCAAAAACCAGATGACCTTGACGGAGGTTGGATCGGACCAGGACATTCTCATCCCCAACGCTCAGGAAGCGCCAAGGATCGAGACCACAGTCCGTGGCGATTCAGAGCGACAAGGCACAGAGACCATGGGGATCATGAGAACAGTGGACGTGTCAACTACTGTGACATCGCGGTACAGTTCGCACGAATGACAGGTAAAAGTCTTTTGGCGGTATGGCGGCGTTCCGGGGGATATCATTATGTGGTGCCTTAACCGGCTTACATCTCGACGAATCGACATGGTTTCTAACGTATATATATTAATATAGTGTATCATATGCCTTCCGGACCTCATATAGGCCTTGATATCGATATGTGTCTGTGTATGTTTTGACGCCAGGAAGCAACATGATGACTATTGACGTGCTCGAACATTGTGACAAGCATTGCAGGGTAGTAAAACTTAAGGTGCTGATGGACCCACATGATTGCAGAAGCTTGTGTGCTTCCTTTAATTTGCTAGTTACTGAAGTCTGGGTCGTGAGGAACTAAGAAGTTCTCTGGTACCTGGGGAAACGAACCATGACGTCATATTTAGATGAAGTCAATAGGGCACATTCCCGGGGTTGGCCCGTCACGAGATTGTCTGCCGCGAGTTGCCGCCATTGCAAAACAAGGAACCTCTGGCTTCGCTGGTGATGCTCGCCATTCAGCTGAACTCAAGTAGGCTCTTTGTCCTACGGGGCTTTTTCCAACTCATGGACGACTATCAAACCGACCTACGTATCTTTTTGTGACATTTACCAACCACTTACTCTCAGGGAATGATCTATTAGGCCATATGTCTTATCTCGAACCTTTATTCCTACTACTTTTTAGGTTATAGCAGAGGCTCTTCCCCTAGCTTGGTTAGTGGCGTGTCGCCTCAATCGAGACATGAACGATGATAAAGACCGACCACGGAGCACGGAAAAGAGGTCGCTTTGCACGAGATTCCGAAGTCACTTCAATCCAAGGCCGGCGGAAGATGATGGGCCACAAGACTGGTGGATCGCATCTACTGCTATTCCACTGATAGCAGCTACCACGGCTCCTCTCGCCAATCTCATGTCAATTGTTGCGCTTGTGATGCCGTGGAAAAGTAAGCTACTTGGCGGGACTGCATTATCAGGCGCACCGGCGCAGGAACTCATCAGTGACCCTCGATGGTAAGTGCACATCGCCGAGATATCCACAGATAGTGCTAACCCGACTAGGTGCATAGCTCTCAATGCCACATCACTCGCGTGTGGCATTGCAGGCAACGTTTTTCTTCTGTTCAATTTTACGCGCACTATGCGATACATCGTAGCTTTGCCCGCATCTATCATCCTCTGGTGCCTGGCCACATCGATTTTGATCGGTATAACCGTTGCTACGAACATCTACGATGGTCCAGTACCACCCGACCAGACCTACTCTCAGGCCTACTGGAGTGCGGTCATCGCTGCAGCTCTGTATTTTTTCCTCACTGTCATCCTGATGATCAACATGCTGGGATACGTTCTGGGGCATTATCCGCAGTATTTTGCCCTTACTGACGGGCAGAGAACATTGATATTGCAAACCACTGCATTCGTAGTGTGGCTACTAATAGGAGCTGCTATCTTCCATGCCGTCATTGATGATATATCGTTTGCGGATGCACTCTACTTCTCAGACGTCACAATCCTGACATTAGGATACGGCGATATCACTCCTCCAACCTCGGTCGGAAAGGGCCTTGTATTCCCTTATGCAGTGATGGGCATCATTATCCTCGGTCTCGTGGTGGGAAGTATCCATGACTTTGCCCGGGAACTGCAATACGACAATGTCGTGCGAAAGCACGTTGAAAGAAAACGACAAGCGACCATCGAGCACTCCATCTCACTGGATCCAGGCGCAGAGGACCCACATCTCAAATTCAAATCCAAGCGTCCACCCAGGCCTGGTGGACGCAGAGCTATCAATGCACTCGCATTGGTAGGCCGACCGAAGCTCCTTATCATGAGGGAAGAAAAAGACCGCTTCAATGCCATGCGAGCAATTCAATACGAAACCGTTCTCTTCCGGCGGTGGTACAATCTAATCCTGAGTCTCATTATGTTTGGTATCGTCTGGACATGCGGTGCTGTGGTCTTTTGGCGCCTAGAACAAATCACCTACTTCCAAGCCCTATACTTCGGCTTTTGCTCTCTCCTCACGATCGGATACGGAGACATCACACCCACCACCAACGCAGCGAGACCCTTCTTCATCGTCTGGTCCCTCCTATCCGTCCCAACAATGACAGTCCTCATATCGGAAATGAGCGACACAATCGTCGTCGCATTCAAGCACGCCACCAGCGTCTTCGCCGACTGGACCGTCCTCCCCCAGTCAGGGAAATACCGAGACTTCCTCCGTAAATTCCCAGTCCTCTACACCACTCTGCAGCATCGCGAAGAAAACCGACGAGTAAACGAAGGCTTCCACGTCGGGTTGGAGAACGAAGAGAGAGGCACGCGAGCAGAGCACCAGCACAGCCTGGACCATCCACCCACAAGATCGCTCGAAGAACTTGCCAGCGAGCCAGACACGGCTTCAGGTACTGGATCAGGATCAGGATCAACCCTTCACTTCGCACAGCAACTCGCGTACGCGATCCAGCGAACTACTCGAGACGTTGTAGAGGGAGAACGGAAAAGATATACCTACGAGGAATGGGTGGAATTCACCCGACTCATTCGCTTCACGGACCCCAGTCCAGACGATGTGGTAGTCCAAGAAGACGAATACGGGATCCTGAATTGGGACTGGATCGGTAAGACGAGTCCAATGCTAGCCACGCAGACGGAACCAGAATGGGTTCTGAATCGTCTCTGCGAGAGCTTGATTCGGTATGTTGATATCCAGGCGAGGCAGGCAGGCACGACGAGAGAGGAAGACGAACCGACCTTGAAGAAGCAAAGGGAGATTAAAATTGAGGGTGATCAGTAAATAACCAATTATCTACTTCAATTTGTGTACATATATGTATATTTCTTGTTTATTCTTTACAGCCATTTCTTTCAATCGGAACAAGATAAATTTCTTTGGAATTACATTATCATGATAATAGAACAGAATCCATAACATTGAAACAAAAAGACCGCCATAATACCAATCCAACACAACCCACTACTTAGTAGTAAGTACAACATGAAACAACTTAATCCCTGCACATAGTAAATCCTCGGTATCCAAACCCGCCCGGACTTCATTCCGTTCTTCCAAAGCGACATACTACACCCAACTACTATGGAAGTATTAGGTTAATCCCTTTCTCCGCACGCCACCAACCCAACCAATAACATAACAAGCAAGTCAGAACCCCTCTTTGATGATCCATTATCCCCCACCTCTTGCACATCATACTAAGTAAGTAACCCATGGAAAGAGCCGTAGCCGATTACTTCCTTATCTCTCCAACTAAGAGAAGCGGGGTAAGCTGGCTGGCTGCCTGCATCATCTCTCTCTCTCTCAAGCTGTGACACAAAGTATTATAGCTAACGTATATAAGAAAAGAGAGTCGATCTTCCTTCCATCTTTACCAATCCAACTAACTACCTCTCTTCAAGGAATCTTTATCGTGTGCATTTACTACTTATTGTTATCAAAGTTATACGTGCTACCAGTATTTTACTACTGCTTTCATTGAAGAGTATATATACTGCTTTCATTGAAGAGTATAAGAGTATATATACATAACTTATCGAAATGACGAAACAACTCGCTCCCGGCGCCCGACTGGAAGGGAAGGTTGCTATTGTTACCGGTTAGTTTCATGCCTTCAATTTCAGTTTCTCTTTCATGCTTAATCCCACTCGTACATCTTTTCGTTCGTCTATATATTCTATCTATTATATATTCACTGTATTCGGAATTATGTATACTCCATTTTCACACTCTCCACCCACCCATACTAACGAAGTTGAAACATCTAGGAGCCGGATCCGGTTTCGGCGCCGCCATCGCGCAGCGCTTCGCCTCCGAAGGAGCCAAAGTCATCGTGGCGGATATCAGTGTCGAAGGGGGCCAGAAGACGGCCGCCGCCGATCCGGAGAATATCGTGTTCGAGCAAATGGACGTGACCAAGGCAGCGGATTGGAAGCGCATTGTGGAGAAGGCGGTGTCGTTGTTTGGAAAGTTGGATGTGTTGGTGAATAATGCGGGGACGACGTATCGGAATAAGGTGTGTCATTTCTCACTTTTCTCTTATGGTCATGATGAATACTTTTGTGAAGAAAGTGAGGCTTATGCATGGTTGATTAGCCGACGCTGGAAGTCACCGAGGACGAATGGGAGCGAGTGTTCAATGTGAACGTCAAGGGGGTTTATCTGGGCAGTCAGGCATTCGTGGCTCGGGTGATTGAGCAGGGCCAGGGCGGGTCGATCATTAATATCTCGTCAACGGGAGCGTCGAGACCTCGGCCTGGGTTGGTGTGGTATAATGCGTCCAAGGGGGCGGTTTCGAATGCGAGTGGATTGATGTTATTCTTTGCCCTTTATGTGTGGGATGCTAATGAGATGTTGATATTAGGCTACCAAGGGTCTGGCGGCTGAGTATGGACCGCATAATATCCGTGTCAATTCGGTCGCTCCTCTTCTCTCGGCTACGCCGTTGTTCTCCGTGTTCACGGGGATGGAAAATACGCCGGAGAACTGGGAGAAGTTCATTGGAAATGTGCCGTTGGGTCGTCTCTCGGAGGGGAGCGACATTGCGAACATTTGTCTGTATTTGGCCAGTGATGAGGGACGTTTTATCAACGGGACGGAGATGGTCATTGATGGTGGCAAGTGTATCTGAGTCGTGAGACCGGTCATTTGCGACGATGGATATGCAGAATTGCATGATGGCAACGTCCTGTATATCAATATAGTGAATGCTCTCAGCAAATCGAAACCAGCACGAAATCCTACTTTTGGGCCGCGTAGTGTAGGGAATTCGTGGTTATAGCTGTACTCACCTGATCAAGTCCAAGAAGAAGGATCGAACAGGGAGATATCTTCTTCTAGCAGGCCCATCATGTGCTGGTTTCCCGAGAACCAATTCCCCAGTTGGCTGGTCTGAGGTATCGGTCCAGAATATTGACCTTCCATCGCGCCTCGTGTATCTCCAGGCGCTGACCCAGCAGGAACAGGTGCGGATGCCCACGCGCCATCACTGTCGTCAGCCGACATAGGTGCCAACCCAAGCGCACTGAGATATACATCAAACTCCTGACCGACAGATGCCAGGTCTTGATCCTCCTTGACCTGCACTTGTTCTTTCGCCTCAATGTAAAGTCTAGCCACATTGCTGAGAACATGGCATAGCTGATACAGTTTCGAGATGGCTTCCGAAAGAAAACAGTTAGGCTGCAGAGAAGCAACAAAGTCTTCAAGTCGGGCGAGATCATCCCAGGATGACAAAGCAATCGCGTGGCAGAAGATCACTATAAATGGAACAAAAGGTGCATAGAGAATGGTCCTGGAGGGGATGTTAGAGATATAGCGGTGTGCCAAGCGTCTGCAGCTTACCAGTGCAAGTACGCGGCCTTGATATGCTCTGTCATCTCCTTCACTTCCGCCATACAGTCCTGATGTACTTCGAGAGCGGACCTAGCCGTTTCTATGCATTCGTGGATGAATGTGCCCTGTGTGCCTTGTGGAGGAATGGCGCGGTATATCAACGTTAGAACTGACAAGCGGGCAACCTTGTCTGATTTGAAGAAGGTCTGATCGACCTGGGATCGTTGTTTATCGAAATGAATACCCTAGACTATGTTAGAGTATTACTGGCTATGTCACCAACGGTGCATACCTCGAATGGCTCCATAACCACTTGCTGCATCTCAGAGGCCAGCTGGCGAGCATGAGCGACCCGCTCACTTTCCGGCCGCGCCAAAGCTGCAGGGCTGTAAAGTAATTCGTACACTTTTCCCTGTATAGTCGCAAATCGGACCCACAGCAAGTATATTTTGTCGAATGGCTCATCTAGCCCGGTCGTATCGATGTTTACTAGAGAGGTGACGTCGTAATCCTGTATGGTTGACGCGCGTCCCAGACGCAGGGAAACCGCCTTGTCCAAAACGTAGACCGTCCAGAATAGTGTATTTCCAAGAGAGGGCTTACTGCCGCTATCTGAAGGATTTGATCGATGGTATCCAAGTGTTTGGCATAAGCGGAAGGCCGCTGAAGTTAACGTCATTGCGAACGACGGCTTAGACATCTCGATTGCGTAGACGGCCTTGACCCTGTTAGTAGACTGTAAATTACTCCAGCGGCGACAAAGCTTACTCCTAGTACGAGTGCTTCGATATTTTCATCATTCGCAGGCATCAAAAGGCTCAAGCTCCCCAAAGCAGTTTCAAGGTTGACCAGACACAGCTTCAGGTATTTATCATACTCCTCTCTAGTCTGTGAATCCTTTGTGATAGCGACGACGTCGCTGATTAGGCAGAGAAGAGCGCCGTTAACTATAATAAAAGTAGCATCGGAGTATTCCTCCGTGGAGAAGTAAATCTGGCGGCATTTCTCAACTAGCCGTCGGGGCGACAGGAAAGGCAGGTATGCTTGCAGGATACTCGGTTGCTCTGATAGTACGTTAGGAAGCTACAGGAAGAACATAGTACGTCTCAGGGACTACCTTGGCATTTGCGCAAAAGTGCCAGAACAACCGGCGCTGGAGGCATGGTAAGCTCTCGCAATCCCGAGCCTGGAATCGCCCTCTGATTCGGGAACCGCACTTGGCGGGAGGGAGATTGTGCCTGGTGGTCCTGCATATCAACGATCTGCTTCAAGGAGGCCAGCGCGGTGCTTATTTTGGGAGTCGACATCTGGAGTGCACTGCGGGAGACGGCCGTCTCTAGAAATTCTCTGGCGTAAGCAGAATGGGCAGCGAGAGAGGAATTGCCCTCAAAAGCAGGAGTAAACTCGTGTTGATCCAGAGTTGCAGCAGCACTAGTGTAATTGGTCGTAGTGGATGGACTCAGCTGGCTTGACAGTGGAGTAGAATGATGGCATTGTTCCGAAGGGCCCTTGGCGTGCGCTCTGAGTTCCAAAAGGGTACGCTCGATGTTGCCCAGGCGTTCTTCGATGAGGTCAATTTTCCTCTCACTACACCATGTCAATTAAGCCCGATAAGCAGCCACTCATTGCACATACTACTGGCTCGATATAAGGACACGCTTCTTTGGCTCTGGGGGCTTCTGGCCAGCACCAGTTGAGCGGCAGATGATTTGAGAACTGCGGCAATTGGAGCAGGGAGACCGCTTGTCACAGCGTATCTAATGGTGGCACCAAAATGTATAAGTGTCCTTCCTAAATGGGACAACCCACTTCATTATTGATAGATTGCAGCAGCTACATACCTTTCGGAGGCGGCATTGATCGCACTGGCATCCGTCAGCAATTGCGGACTGTAGTATGGGTATGCAGTGCCACTCGAACTTACCGCACGCCTGACAACAGGCTCCTTCTCACTCTCGGGTCCCTCGGGCTCCATGTAGTCAAGCTTTCCAAGATAACCGGTCCCCGATAGCACGGCTTATTACTTTTTCCAGCAGAGCAGACTGCAGAGATTGTTGGTGTCGGTGACGGTGAGGGCGAGTTGGTTGCAGGAAGTGTGAGACTGGCGGATCCCGCGGAGGCCGAGAGTGTGGACCGAACTTTGATTGATTGCCTAATCGTCACTCTCTCTCATCCACAAAAGTAAGTACCTGTTGTCAGGGTTTAACCTGGTGCGCTTCAGGCAGTGGATTCTTCGATTATCCGGTAACAGACTAGTCTTATAAGCTTATAGGAGGTCAGATCCTTCCACCTTTGTAATGCCTCTATTTTAGGCAGCTACTATGTCAAATAGTTACCAAGGTCTATCAATGATATAAAGTCAAAGGATTATCAGAATTCAAATATAATAATATCGTTTATTATTATATTTTCATTTTTCAAATTATTAGTAATTGTGGTTTTCTTTTTCCTTACTACTTTCATTCTTTCTTTCTTTCTTTTTTTTTTAACCTCTTGGCCACACGCTGGATGGTATTCAGTCACGTGACTTATGACCATTCTGGGTGTTCCTTTCACCATTCGCTCCTTAACCAAAGTGAAGAATTTGTCTATTGATTTAATAGCAATTTTAGATCTACAAGTCTCTCATTCCAATGGTTGTTCTGTCATATAGCCCTAAGTACTTGGACAAAGCTCAAAAACTTCTATGAGAGAGCTCAATATATAGTATCTCTATGAACTCGTATACTATGTATCCTTTGACAAACTCAAAGGGTGGCAATTGATACTTATACATACACTCCAGTGAAATCATACTCATAACAGCCAACTTTCAATCTTTGCCACAGTATCGGCAACCAATCGGTCGTAATATGTGCCCAGAGGAAGAAATATGGACTGGTGGGCGGTGATCTCTTCCATGCCCTCCATCCGTAGCGGAACCCAGAGCTGCTCTTTGCGGGCTGTTTCTGGAACATAACAGAATAGTCGTCCCGGTGGTCTGGGACGAGAACCCTCGGGCTTATTTCTCTGCTCGCCTAAATTGCATGAGCTTGACGATGACCGTATATCCACCCTGGTGGAAGAAAATTTCGTGTCGAGCAGTGACTCAGACGAGCGGTTGTCTGCCACCTTTCCTTGTATATCAGCTCGAATCTCAGGCAACACTAATGCAGAGTCTCCGTCTTTCACGCGATACTCATGTATTTGCGACGCTCTGTGCCTCAAGACCATCTTGTTTCCGTGATGATTACCGTTGGTGGTTTCGCTGTGTGGACAGGCAGTCGTGTAATAATTAACAAAGCGGACCCTCCCACCAGATTCATCGCGTTTTGCCCAACGGCAGAGTCTCTTGTGTCGTCTGAGAAGCCCAAAGTAGTCATTCAGACATCCGACATGATCGTAGTATGAGAAAACATACTGAAGAACAGAACGAGATAAATGACCCGAATGTTTTGCAAGGAAATGGCGCGCTCCATCCCACCCACTCCACTGGGCCCTGTCGACATCGTTGGTCAAGTTTGGATCGAACGTCGGATCGTCGTTTGCTATTTGACTGTCTGTGGTGCTCTGAGATGTGCGCCTACTCTCATTCTTTGCTTTTCGGCTAAATACCCTGCCGGCTGCCGTTGCAATGACGCGCGGATGGAGTCCAAGAAAAGGCGTATCAAAGGCCACCAGGCCAACAATCCTACTGTTCGGAACGTGGCCAGCGGTTGTGTAAGACTCGGAAAGTGCAATGTCTGCAGCCATGAGGCCTCCTATACTGTGACCGAGCAGTATGACATCCAAATCTGGAGCCATGTGTGGCGATAACCTGGAACAAAATGAATGCTCAATATAGAGGGCTAAGTGTGTTGCGGCTTGAGGTAATTGCTTACCATCGGCTGATATCGTCGCAAGCAACACGTATAGGTCCTCTGGTTTTATAGCGGGGGTATATCTTGGTGTATGTGATGTGGGTTTGAGCCAATGAGACCTTAAGTATATCGTGGACTTCCCTAGGGAAGTTACAAAAGCTCTCCTCTGAGCCTAGAAAGCCATGGATGTATATCAGGAGTAACCTGCGCTTTCCTTCGTGTCTTGGTAATTCATCGGGATTATAAGAAGCGTCCCGCCATGCGTCGAGAGTAAAGTTGTCAGAGGCGTGTTCTTTCATTGTTGACCCTGAAGACCGTTCTCAGTAGAATATCCATCGTGAATGAATCTCTGCTGACACAAGAAGTAGCAGCTGTGTGTAAGAAATGAGTTGCTCTCCAGTAGATCCCAAAATGTTTAAGTGATTCACAAGTAGCAGATCCTACATGTCCGCCTGCGGCTCTATTCTTAGAATATATCATGGGAGCGAATACGAGGTGGTAATTAGGGCCTTTTCTTCCCCTTTATTTCTCTCGCTCTTGCAGAAGAATCAGGAATAGAAATATACGCCAAGGCGTAGATCAATGACGATTGGTAGCCTCCAGACCCACTCGTATTCGTTTAGATATTTAGACGTTTTCGATCAGCCACAGGCAAATGCATTTTTCTGTGCCCTCACTGGCCACCCAGCGGTCGGATGTGTCTGGTACAGTTTTGAATGTGTTGATTTTGGTAGCCTAAAGTACGTTATGCTTAGAATCCACAGGGTTATCTGAAGTAAATTGTCAGGCTCTATGATCCATTTACTGGTTCTAGTTATTAAAGAGTTTTTAAAATGAAGAAAACGTGGTAAAATCAAGTCCTGCTCCCAGAACGGATACCGATAAAAACCCTCAACCTCTGCGCCAACAAAACCATGGTACTGAAATATCACGTTCAGGCATCCTTAGTACTCTTCAATTTCTGCCGAAAAGTGGCTACGATATTGTCCGTCGCTGTATGCTGGCCGCTCTCCAGTAACCACGTTCCCTCGCTGTGGCGCTGTTGGGCGATGAGTTTTCTAATACGCGACTGACCTGACGATCGTAAACTCTGCGCGATACCAGCAGTAGAGTATGCCATGAGGCCAAACATAGCAGAGCCGGATTTAGCTGCCATATTAGTTACCCCTTTGCCAACTCCTTTGATCGCACCTTTCGCACCCTCCTTCTGAAGACCCTGGTATGGCTTAACAACTATGTCGCTAACCGCCTCCGCCATTCCCCATGCAAATCCTTTCCCAGCAACAGCAAACCCGCTCTTGATGTCAGTAACTGGACCGTGGTCTCGAGGCTCTTCACCATACAGCCGAGGGACGTTGCGCAGCCCTTCAGCCAAAGCAAGGGGAAAGTCAACAGTCGTGCCCTTAATCATGGCAGGACCAACGCTGCCCAAACTTTTGGCAGACGCAGCTGCCATCCTACCAAAAAGCTTTCTTTTGCCAGTACCCGATCGCTTTTGCGCGTCTGAATCCGCAGACACCGTAGAGTTGTTGCTACTGGAAATACTCATAGCGCGTGGTTCCTTCTCGTGATTTGTCGAAACGGTATCGACAGATAGATTGTCTGAAAGATTTTCGACGGAGAGGTTGGACCTGCTGCTTGATGGTTGATCTTCGCGCTCCTCCTTGAACTTGTGATACTCCAGAGCAGGCTTGTAGAAGGCTCCCAAAATAGAGTCGGCAACATCGGTGGCTGTGCCAACCACTGCAGACGCTCCGCCCGTGACGGGGTCCCATCGGCGATTCTCAATGAAGATTGGGCGGATGGCATGCCTATAAGAAACTTTCATCAGACGCTGAACGCAGTCAAACGGAAAGCAACATCCTCGAGGTTGTCAATCTCTTGTACGTACATCGTCAAGCTTTTTGCATCAATGGATCCATCGGCGATTAGTACCTCTGCGGCAATCTTTGAAAGCTTGAATTTCCTACGTTTTTGGCGGAGCGACCACACTGCAGGTAGACCGGGATCTAGATCACACTGCAGACACTCAAGTGGGAGGTTCCGGTGAAATGAGGCGACTGCAGCCTTTACACCTGCTTCGGACTGCATTTTGGCAGCTATAGCAACGGCTGACATGCGCGCTTGCTCGCTAAGGCAGTATCGAATCCCTTCGGCCAGCCTGTCGACTGTAAGTTCTTTATGTGGAATAGGAGTAGGACCAGCGCCTGCTGCAGCGACCATATCTCCCCAGAAGGGCTGGCTATGGAGATTGTTAGCAAAAGATTAAACAGCGGTATATAGTCTTCCATAACCACTCACTCTCCAAAAAAGGGTACAACGATTGTGGGCTTGGATTTTCGTAACCCGCAAGCTGTCGTGCCCGCACCTCCATGATGCACAACAGCTGCTACGCGGTCAAATAGCCATTCGTGAGGGCAATCCCCGATGAAATAAATGTTGTCATCGTGCATCCCGCCTAAGTTGGACCAGCCTTTGGAAACAATAGCTCGTACGCCTGTTGCACGTACAGCGTTGAGGACAATACCGGTGATGCTTTCTGGGTCCTCCAATACAATACTACCAAATCCAATATAAATTGGGGGTGGACCAGCAGCAAGAAAGGCCCGCAAGTCAGCCGGGGGATCATATCTCGGGGCATCCCGGAAGAAGAAACCACAGACGTCTTTATGGGGGGAGGGAAATGCTGTTAGCATAGAGTGCATTATATATGACGGATATAGTGGCCACCCACCGATATAAGAAGGCCAATCTGACGGCTTGGGAATGAGGGCCGGGGACCAGCAATATGTAAATGGTATCTTCAAAATCTCTGCAAGACGAGGCCCTTCGAACATAGCTACTTCGTCCAAACCAAGCTCTTTTCGCCATTGATTGATCACATCGCCCACCCTAATCGCGTCAGTATACATCAAGTAGACTCTATGTTTTGGTAGAACTCCCTACCCTTGCCAAGTCAGCCAGTTAACCACGGCGTAAGAGACAAAATTCCTGAACCCTTGGTCTTCGTCACCACTACCAGTTACATTTGCCAGGGGGTGAGGAAAGGCTTTCGTGCTGGTCCAGGGCATAGTGAACATCAAATGTACGGGAATACTTAAAGCCTGGGCGCAGTGGATGTGAGCAAAGCTGGGAGGGTTGGCGATGATGGCATCAGCTACGAACGGCCGCTGGGTCGCCATATCAGGCTCGATACACGATTGCCAGCACCCGTCCAACATTTTCCGGATCATGGCTCGCTTGCGCCCAATTTCACCTGCCTGTAAGCTCCGCATACTGGGAATGAGACCGGGATTCTTAACCATGTAGGCCATCAGCTCCTCCGGATCGCCCCCGATAGGATAAAATTCCAGCCCTGAGCCCCGGACGAAATCTTCGAATACATCATGAGTAGCCAGTCTCACCCGATGTCCATATCGCTGCAGTTCGTTTCCGAGGGCAATGAATGGTTGCACATCCCCTCGACTGCCTACCACCTGGATCAGAATATTCAACTTTACCTTCCAGGAGCTTTCTAGGTATGCCGGCGGAGAGCCAAGACTAAGGTCATTATCATCGGTGGCTTGCGGTTCTATCTCGGAATACTCGGGCGGTGGTGTCGTAGGTCGTGGTGAATAATGAGAAGTGTACAGCTTAGAGAATCGCCGTACCAGCGTAGTGTTGTAGTCGATATCAACGCGCCCGTCACCTGCAGATGTAATCAGCCCCGTATCCCTCAATGGCTTGGGTGGAACCCTCCCGTGACGGTCGACGAGGGATGCATACTGGTTATTTTGATGCCGCTTTTGCGGTCGGCAGCAATTGGCGTTGGGGGGATGGTGACTGGATCACCGGGTAACTCGAATACCCCGGGATGGCTGCTGCTTGCCATGGTTGGGGTCATAACTGAATCCCCCGGCAGCTCGAATACCTCCGCATTTCTGTTGCTAGCCATGGACTGGACTGAGACGCAGCGAATGAAGGAAGACGCAGAGTAATCCACAGAATCTTAGAGTACTCAGAGGACAATGGTGTAAAGATCAAAGATTTACATTTTGACTCCTCTGGAAACTATGGTAAGGGAACGGCGAGAGACAGGGCCCTGAACCAGACTGCAGATCGGAGAAAGTGGCGTGCCCTGGAACTTAGCAAGAAAACATCCTTGGGGAAGAATGTGCCAAGTACCAACCCAGATATACGAAAACGAGCGGGGCCCCAAAAGGACGATCGTATCGGAAAGCCGGGCTCATACCAGTGATGCTCACTGTAAAACTATTTAGTGTTGAGAGATCATGTCTCGCAATTGTATCATTGCCATTATCTCCGGTCGACTGGCGGTATGATATTAGATATATCTGTATATTCATTGTTATTCCTGGTGGGGAGGTTTCTCGTTACAGCCACACAAGGTCAATTTCGACAGTTTTTGTCACTATGATAAAGCTATGGACAGGCTTTAAGAGGATCAAAGGTAAGAAGCGCACACAAATGCGAATCATCAAGTTGTATTACCTGCTGAATAGGTTTGCCTTCATCGAAAATTCTACATAAAAGCTCTTATCTACTTCCAAAGAAAGTCGAAAGCAGGGCAGTCCTCCGTTCGTATTCGTATATATGGCTCCCGCGGATGGCTGGGCTGTGGAAGTTAAATGTCAAACCCCTGTTGCAGGAGTGGAATCTCTAAATGTTTATTGATTATAATGATTTGATAGTCGCACGCCACCGGTAGATTCCTGCTGCTGTAAAAGCAGTTCCCCTAACCTCTCAAGTGCCAAGCAAACAGTTGGTGGGAGGAGGGCAAACAACAGTGGTGGCCAATATGGGAGAAGTTCCGTTCCCTAAACGTTTCTCCTTAATAATTCGTATTCAGAGATCATGTCCGAATTCCGGAACTACAAAACCAAACAAGCTTTGTATATTGAAGGATGCCGCCATCATGTTCTCGGGCATGCTGCCATGCACCGTGGTGTCTGCCATCACCGGGTAGTGAAGATAGTCACTTGGATCCCAAAACTCCATAATGTCATCTTGCAAGCAGACATCATTGATACTGGTGTGGTTGTTTGATTGAGCCAACTGCTCAGAATCCTAGCTAAGATTAGAAAAGAAACTAAAATAAAAATCCCGATACTCAAGACTTACCTGGAAAGCTAATGTAGATTCAACGTTAGAGGAGCCTATTTCGCACGGTCCTGCACCTCTTTCCTCATCTTCCCTTTCCTGCACCTCTGCCTCTTCTTGTTGCTGGTGCTGTGGTTGGTTTCTGCCATAATCCCTGATATACTGTCTTGCGATGTGAGCGAATTCGGTCAGAAGCGAC